CTAGCTACGTCACTAGTCAGTATATCCATCAGCAGTGCCCCCCCCCCCACTCCCCCGTGGAATGATGCCAGAAAGAAACACTGACTGCCATGGTGTACAGCTTCTCAGAATTCATTCAATGCCTTCAAAGTTATTGACATTCTTCCATTTTGTTTTAAATTCCTTCCAACAAACCAGATAGATAAATATTAGAAGAAAATATTTTTTTTTTAATAGGCACGACAAGTTTCGTACCCACACCAGGCACGTTCCCTGAAAAAAAATCATATTTTTAAATTCTATAATCATGTTCCTATCACGGTAGTCTATACACTCCAATATAAATAAAACATTGATGTTCTTGAACACAGTATCGTCTCAAAATTGATACAAAGTTATTTGTTCACATGACCGAGCGTGTTTAGCTTTCAATGTAAAATAGTGGGGCAGTGTCGTCCCCCCCCCCCAACCCCACTTTAAGAACGATTTAAATGCATTTTGATTTAAGCATTTTAATATTAAATGTGTTGTTTATAATATATATATATATATATNAAAACAACTCTTCACAAGATTATCTTAGAAGCACCTGTGTACCATAGTGGTTCGTGTCTACATAAGATGCCATCTAGGCTCGTGTCTACAAAAAATGTCATTATAGCTCATGTCAACATAAGATGCCATCTAGGCTCATGTCTACATGGGATATCATTAAGGCTCGTTTTCTTTCAATCTCTCTTGTTGTTTTTTTATCATTCAGGCTAAACTAGCCCCCCTCCCCAACACTAATTAAAAGAAGACCAAAAAAAAAAGTCAATTGGACAGGTGTGTGTAGAGTTTGCTCAGATATGTAGCTGTTTAGATTGTTTGCATATAGGTAGAGTTTGCTCAAGTTTGTAGCAGATAAGTCTGTCTGCCCGAATGTTGTCCGTCTGCCCGAAGTTTGTCTGCCCGAAGGTTGTCTGTCTGCCCGCCCGCAGGTTGTCTACCCACCCGAGGCTTGTCTGTTCGCCCAAGAGTCGTCTGCCCGCCCGCAGATTGTCTGCCCGCCCGAGGGTTGTCTGCCCGCCCGCAGGGTCATCTGCCCGCCCGCAGGGTTGTCTGCCCGAACGCAGGGTTGTCTGCCCGCCCGCAGGTTGCATGCCAATGATGGTTGATAACACAACCAATGTCTTAGACGAGGGATCGACAAGCTGTTGGTAATATTGTGTTTTAGCAGGCCTATTCATTGCTATAGCGTGGCTTCAGAAACTCAAAAATCTGTATGCTCCACAATATTGCTTGGTCATGTCATATTATTCTGTGTCCTATTGGTCATAGTGGCCCACGTGTCATAGGTTGCCTACCAGTGTGCTTAAAGACTGGGATATGTGGCTGTGATATCATTTGTATTTTATTGTACACCTAAGTTATACTTCAATGACAAGATATTTTAGGGATAATCATTGGGGGGGGGGGGGGGGGCTCACGGTCTATTATGTATATGAAAAGTTTTGAGGGTGGTTCTTGCACTTTACGGTTGTACAATGTATTAGTTTTTTAATGAAGTTTTTTTTTCTCGCAAATAACAGATCTGTGGAGTGCATTAATTGATAATTTTGGTTCACACCGAACTGCCTACATTCCAAAATAAACCAACACAAAGGATGAGACTGTCAAATATATTATTTATTGTGTGGTAATAATAATAGAAATAGTAATAATATTTTTCAACACCAAATTTTAAAAAAAAAATTAAACATCAACAAACAAACAAACAAAAGTAAATAACCGAACATTTTAAGTTGAAACATTTTAAGAATAGAAATGAGGAGACACAATTTAATTTTGATTGGTTCATTTGGACAAAATGGCAAGGTGAAATTCGGAGATTACATTAATTTGTAAAACAACCAATACGTACTCGGCACTCATTAAAAAAAAAAAATAATAATCCAATGTATATGACGTCATCGAAATCTGGGAAGTATCAGCTGGTGTTGGTGATAAATAAATACACAACCCGCGCCTATGGCTGTATTAGCTGTCTTTACATCACATGTCATTGTCATATGTTCATCACACCTTATAATCGTAGTTTCACCGCATCTCAAGGTCATGGGTTCTTTATTCACAGTTTTACAACTTCCGTATTTTGTTTGATATTTTTAAAAAGTTAATTTCTTTATATTTTTATAAATCACCGATTAATTTCCTAGCTCCTGGAAAGCCTGAATCGTGGCGTCACGTCAATAGCGACGTCACCCACAACAAAAACTATTATTAGATTAATTATTTCCCCTCTGTTCAAAACAACTAAAAAATAAATTCAAGCTTCAATTTCACACATTTCTTTAAAAAATATGTGATGACATCATGTGTACATTTAAAAAAAAATAGCTTTCATTCATACTTTGAAGTTTATTTGTTTTGTTTTTACTGGAAATTTACTCTAAAGTAATCATAATTTATTCCCTTGGACATAACATAATATATAGTAAACTAAGCTAAAGAATCAAAGCTAAAAAAAATCTAGACATTACGCTACCACTCCCCATATAGTTAACTCACTTCTAATTTAGTTTAACACAATCAGGATCCTACCGGGGCAAAGGCTGAGCCCAGGGCGAAGCGTGAAAATGGCCCCCACCTAATCTTACCAATAAATTAATATATGATATAAACACATGACCTATTTATATATAGAGGGATAATTAACGATTTATAAGGGTAATTTTTACAATTTTAGTGCCCTCTCCACCTGGGGCCTGAACCCTGGGTGGTCGCCCCCTTCACCCCAACTTCGAACGGCCATGAACACTAGCATACTCTGGAAACGGCTTTTTTAAATTGTTATGAGCCATTCATTCATTCATTCAGATGTTCATGACATGCCTTCGCCTTTGCCCTCAAAGACAACACGATTGCATTTGTAGATGGTGAGGAATCGGGGTCATTTTGAAAATTATAAGCAACAGCAAGTTATTTCATGCAGTAAAGTGCATATGTAAGTACATAAACATCTCTAGCATGTTTGTTGGACCCAACCTGTTCTGTAAATTATATGAGACAGACAAAACGGTAATTATGTTAATTAAATACTTAATTATAGAATGAGCAATGATTCATATCATGACATAAGATCATAATTACTGGTCGTTATTTGCATATTGGACACTTACATGTGCTGAATTCTCTACATTGTTATTTTTATACATAAGGACATTAGAATCAAAGTGGCAGATCACATTATATCATTGTGACAATCATATCAACAAGTTACAACAAAGCAACATGCAAGGAGCAAATATCACAATTAAAAAACTGATGCTCTGCCAATATACACATATAATATTGACGTAACACATATGTTAATGACAAACTACATGTATTATTTTAAAAAGTTATAAATAGTTATAAATAGAACACAAAAAATAATATATATATAAATATATCCCCTACAAATAAACGGGTGTCCCTCATTATTTACTTAAAAATCACAAAATGGTAGCGATAAAGTTCAAACAAATAACTAATCAGCAAATCTCAAAGACAGATCATTCCCCCCCCCCCCCGCCCCCCCCCAAAAACAAAAAAACAAATAAACGGGTGTCCCTCATTATTTACTTAAAAATCACAAAATGGTAGCGATAAAGTTCAAACAAAAAACTAATCAGCAAATCTCAAAGACAGATCATTCCCCCCCCCCCCCGGCCGCACCCAAAAACAAAAAGTACCATCATGATTGATTGAATATTTGAAGACAACTTCACCGGTTTAATTCGTTTCTATGGGAAATCGCTCTGCATGGCTCGATGGCCCCATAACGCAGGCTATCTATGAGCATAACTTTTGTTCAGACAATCCCCGACATCCCTTTTCTAATCTTAACATACTCGGAATATTTAAATTTCAAGCTTTCTTCATCGTCTTTAATATGTTGATGCCCATCATATTTTTTTTTATTCAGAGCTCAAAAGTATAATTGAACAGCAAATAAATAGCATTAACTTTACAGCACACACCAACAAAAATAAATAATTACGTTTATTTCCCCCAAAAATGTGCCAGCATCTAAGGCAGTGCTTCTCAACCTGCCTAATGCCGCGACCAGGGGCGTAGCGAGGGTGCTTGGCGCCCGGGGACAAGATCCATTTTTAGCGCCCCTTTTTCTTTTTTTCAACGCTCAAACCCATTATTTTCATCAATAAAATAATATCAAAGCACATTTTGGCGCCCCTAACTAGCTAGCGCCCGGAGACATCTGTCCCCCCCCTGCCCCACCACGCTACGCCTCTGGCCGAGACCCTTTAATAAAGTTTCTTATGGTGTGGTGACCCCCAAACAATAAAATTGTTTTCGTTGCTACTTCATAAATATGTGTTTTCCGAGGGTCTTAAGCGACCCTGTGTAAGGGTCGTTTGACCCCCCCCCCCCCCCCAAAGGGTTTGTGACCTACAGGTTGAGAACAGCTGATCTTAAAGAAATTAAACAGCACGTAAAATGTAGACACCACACCTCCCCCGCAAAGAAATAAAATAAATAAATACATTTACGCCCTTAAAAAAGGATTAGGATTATTACTCTTGAACAGATCGTGCGATAAAATGTATTTGTGGAATACAAGTAGTAACTCGCTTTTACCGTGGCAAATAAATTGATGGTTATTAAAAGTCTTATGGCACCATACAGTGTTATGGGTGAAGAGATACGTTTTTATATAATATTTACATAGTTATGTTATATGGCTGTCACCCCATTCCAAAAACTGGCAAAAAAGGCGGGGCGGGGGGGGGGGGGG